ATAGGTTCTCTGGCCTCGTCCTTACATAATGTGCATAAATTAACTGGGAATTGACGGCAAAATACTAGGGAGCCTCCTTCCTGCTGGATTGAAAATGATTGCTCAGAGCGAGGTGGGGCAACCTAGAAAAAGTTAGGTTTAATTGAAGTTAATAGCTGGTATCTATGCTGTAGTTTCTATTGTGATAAGAATGAATGTTAACTTAACAACAGTGTTAACAAATTTAGGAGTGCCAGATGTAACTGAGCAGCTGGGATTGTATGATCTCCAGTGGGTCTGAAGTTATTATTTGGCCCAATGCTGGTCTAAATAGAAGTTGGGTTAGAGCTTTTGCCTGAAAAAGTTTGATGACAGCAGGCAACAGAAACTACTGAATATATGAAATCACAAAATGGCTGAGATACTCCTTGCCTAAGATGACTAATATAAATTGCATGAGTGACTCTCCTTGCTTTAAATGCAACCCCAACGTATTTGAAAGTGCTCAATTATATAGTTGTTGATAGTCCATCTATAGGCTGTGGGTCTTTTAGGGAAAATCATTTTCTTGGGGTTTTTTTTGGGGGGGGGGGATAATTGATCAACTGTTCCTCTTGGCAATGTTGAACCAAGGCAGTGAATGCCCTCTTCAGACATGCCTTAAGAATAGAGTAAGAGCAGATCTCCATATAGCAAAATTGGGAGATGTCTTTTTGTCAATTTAGGGGCACAATTGTGCGTTTTCTTTAATCATTGGATCAAAAAATATAGAAATTGAACAGAGTTGGAGCTAATATATGATATTTTATGTGAAGAACTGTGCTGCTGATCTGCAAGAAAAATCCCTCATGCAGCAATGAGCAGCAGAAAACATTTAGCAATTGTTGAGTTATGTAATTTGGTCCATAATAAACTCTGCTATATTGAATCAGAAGCCACCCTGAAATTAATAAAGATGCATAAAAGTGACTCATGGAGCAAAATACATACTTTTTTCAGTTTAGTCTGAAACTAATTGGTCTACCTCAGGGGTGTCAAACTGCCGGCCCATGGGCCGGACGCATCACGCAGAAGCTGCACCCACCCCATTGCTGGCAATGGCAAAGCTGTCCCAATACGTTGCGTGACGTCACGTGATATCGCAAGTTTCACATGTCTGGTCTACCTGATCTAAAACCAGTTTATTCTTCCTTTAGGATGTTATCTTGGATAATCCAATCCTTCAACATTATAGTTGGAGTATGACATTTTACTAGTGATGACATGGATGTCCTTTGGCCACTATTTATTTCTCCCTTTTCTGCAGAGCTATGCCAAGCTGACCTTTTACAGAAAAAAAACCCTCAATGCTGTTCTTGCTGGAGGAAGAGAGACCAGCAGTAATACTGTTGTGTATTTTTAGATTCTTTAATAGAATAACACAGTTGGAAAGTACCTTGGAGGTCTTCTAGTACAAGCCCCTGCTGAAGCAATAGACCCTATACCATTCAGGATAAATGGCTGTCCAATCTCTTCTTTAAAATCTCCAATGATGGATCACCCACTTGTGGAGGCAAGCTGTTACACTGATTGTTCTCACTGATGGGAAATTTCCTCTTAGTTCTGGGTTAGATCTCTCCTTGATAAGCCTCCATCCATTACTTCTTGTCCTGCCCTCAGATGCTCTGGAGAATAAGTTGATCCCTCTTCTCTGTGAAGTCCCTCAAATATTGGAAGACTGCTATCATGTCACTCCTTGTCCTTCTCTTTGTTAGATTAGATATACTCTCTTCCTACAACAGTTCATGTTTTAGCCTCCAATCCCTAAATCGTATTTGTTGCTCTCTGCACTCTTTCCAGAGTCTCGACCCCTTTTTTGTATTGTGGTGACCAGAACTGAATGTAGTATTCCAAGTGTGGTCTTACCAAAGCACTATCAAGTGGTACTAACACTTCACACAATATTGATACTACCTCCCTGTTGAGGCAGCCTAGGACTGCATTGGCTTTTTTGGCTGCTGCAGAACACTGCTAGCTCATACTTGAAAAGGTTGTCCACAGGATTGTTAGATCCCTCTCACAGTTACGGCTATTAAATCAGGTACCACCTTCTCTACTGTGCATTTGGTTTTTCTTACCTAAAACCTTACTTTTCTCATCCTGAACTGCATTTTGTTGGCTAAGGCCCAGTGGCCAAGTTTGTCAAGATCCTTCTGGATCTTGAGCCTGTCTTCTAAAGTGTTGGCTATACCCCCCCCCCAAGCTTAGTGACAACAGTCTATAAATTTGATGAGTTCCCCTTCTATCACCTCGTCTAAATCATTTGGGCCTAAAACCTTGGAACACTCAACTACATGCTTGCCTCCAGGCAGATGTAGTTCCTTTGAGAATTACATGTTGAGTCTGGTTGATCAGCCAGCTACAAATCCACCTGGTGGTGATGCTGTCTATGCCATATATTTTTTTATCTTACCAAGAAATAGGTTATAGTCTACGCTGTCAAATGTCTTACTGAAGTCCAAGTACATTATGTCCACAGCATTTCACTGATTCAGTAATTTAGTCATTTTGTCAAACAATGCAATAAGGTTTGTCTGGCTGATCTGTTTTTGACAAACCCATATTGGCTTCTAGTAATAGCTTTGCTTGTTTCTAGGTGTTCACAGATCTGTTGCTTGGTTATCTTTTCCAGGTATTGATGTCAGGCTGATTGTCTAGTTTCTTGGATCAACTTTCCCTCCTTTTTTGAAGATGGGAACCACATCAGCTCTTTTTCAGTTCTCTGGTAGTTTCCTGGTACTCGGAGGATCTTTGAAAGATATGGTTCAGTGGTTCTGAGATCACATCTACCAGCTCCTTCAGAACTCTGGAATGTAATCCAACTGGTTTTTTTTATTTGTACTCATCTAGAGTGGATAGGTGTTGCCTTTCCATTTTCTTGCCTATTTTAACTTGTATTCCTATCCTAATCTGTCTTTTAGAATACTGCTTTTGATAGTGGACTATTTTTTTCTTTAGTCTGAGCATCTTCCGGAATTGGTCCCATCAATCTCCCAATTCTAGCAGAGAACAGGTACTCTACCATGTATAAGTTGCAGGAATCTGGATGAATGATGGATAGCACCAGTTTCCTATATTGTTTTGCTGCCACTTAGTAATTGTTCAGCTGTTTGCTGGCCAGCTACAGTAGCCCTGACTCAGTGCACAAAGTGCAATCTTTTCATCACAGATCATTCATTTTGTTGTTTTCTGGGTGCAAGTACTCTTACAGTTTGACTTCTAGCAGTTTCTTGTTTGTGAGCGGTACCTCAATCTGCAGCCCTCTTGTAGATGTAGAACTCTTCCTAAATAGAGAGTTTGGGCTCATACTTGAGAAATATTTGTGCTACTCCCTCCAGACTCCCACTATTGGCAATATCCTCCTTTTCTGCCAATTGGAACAGCTTAATTATAGATCTCTAAAAAGGAACAAAACTTGCCAAAACCCAAATCATAATTCTGAATTATTAAAAAAAAAAATTCTTATAATGGAGCTATTTCATCATTATAGTTTCTTACTAAAAGAAAAAAAAAGATTTTATACAGTAGGGGGATTAGCTCAAATGGTAGAGCGCTCGCTTAGCATGCGAGAGGTAGCGGGATCGATGCCCGCATCTTCCACTTCCAATTTTGATGCTGTTTAAAGGGAAGCCCCTAATCCCCCCTCAAAAAAGTCCCAAGGTCTTGCATTTTGAGGCAGCGTTTTCCGCTTATTAATGGTCTAATTCTTTTTTTACTACAACTTTTTACGGCCCTTCAATCCAGTTCCCAAAGGGACACGAGGACGAGGACGGGAGGGCTATGGAAAAATCAGCTCTACAGCATATCCGGAGCATCGAACGGGAGGGGATTCCACGAACGAGCGACTTTTCAGAAGGCAAAGAGGAGGAGGATTGTAGCCTGAGGCAAGCTTTAACATTTTAAATCCTTGAAATCTTCCTTGTGCGATGCAGGAGGTATATCACTCGGGGCTTGTTTCTGCTGAAGCCAAAAGCCTCGCTCTGCCCTGCCTTTAGGACGGTGTTTCTCAACCTTGACCATTTGAAGGCATGTGGACTTCAACTCCCAGAATTCCACAGCCAGCATTGCTGGCTGTGGAATTCTGGGAGTTGAAGTCCACATGCCTTAAAATGGTCAAGGTTGAGAAACACTGCAGTTTAGGACTTTCTGAGTGGAGCGGAAGATGCTCCGTTGCGTTCCTGAAAACGACCCGGAATACACCGCGCACCGCCAAGGAAGCCGGATGCCACTGAGCCGCTGCGGGGAACAGCCGAACGGCTTGTCGAGGCTGCGATGAGGACGCTTTTCGCTGGCCGTCGGCGGCCGACGACTGGTTCGATCTGTTTTGCCCGTTGCCCCCGGCCACTGAAATATATTTTTCACTGCATTTGCATCATCTCCCAGTCTGCACACCGCTGTCCCCGCGGGCTTGGACCAGCGGGGATGCCTTTCCGACATCGTTCCCAGGCGAGCCCCGCGGCTTGGGCCTTCCTTGAAACCACCCAAGCTGCAGGGAACAGAAGCCGACGTAACCCGTAGCCACGCCCACTCGTGAGATTCGCCTCTGGCTTCGGGTCACCTACCTTACAACGAAAACGAGCTAATTGGCCGCGCTCCCGCCCCGTCGGCTACCATAGCAACCAAACAGGCGTGTCACCAGGGAAGGGACGCGGCTAGCCAATGGTGCATCGAGTTGCTATGGAGAGGTACAGCAGACCAATAGGGAGCTGGATTGTTCCAGATGAAGAAGCATAGCCTATGATAAAAAACGTTGTTGTTGCCAGAGCAACCGGCCGAAGGTAGGGCTGGCCTGGCCCGGTGCCCCTGGCGGCGGCGACGGGAGCAGGTTGGTCGATTTGAGGGGAGAAGGGAGGCGAGTGGGCCGCGCTGGGGCGATAGCTGCATCCGTTTTACTCTCTTGTTCTCACGTGTGTGTGTGTGTATGTGTCCAATATATAAAATTAAAAAATAGGAGTTTATGGACCTTCCCTTCATTGCCTCTCCATCGAAGCTTCGGTTCCGGAAAGGGGGACGGAAAGAATAAAGGGGACAGTAAAATAATGGCCCTTCTGCGTCTACCTGGCTGACTTCTGACTCCATGTGGCAGGCGGCCCCTACGAACGGGAATGAAATGGAGGGGGCGTGACGCTCAGGTATCCAACTGAGCCATTAGGCAAAAGAGAGTAACAGCCCTTCGGATTAATCTGTCTCCTCCCACTGTGACTAAAAACATGCTCAGACCTTGTTGTTTTTTTACGCCTTTTACTCCACTATATCCGTTATGTAGTTTTCTACCATAGAAACATTCTTCAGGAATGGCGTGCCCCCAGTATTAGCACAATAGCAGTCACTCACTTCTAGCTCCCAATCAATATTATCCAGGAGTAATATTGTGCCTGGTTCACACAATTAACCAATTATGGCTTGATGCAAGGAGTGAACTGAGTCTTGATATTATTCAAACTATGGGATAATTTATTGCATACTATGTTGTGTGAATCCAAGTTAAACATGTGTCACTCAGCCTGGCTGGGGTACTGGAGAAAACATATAACCATTGTGATTAGTAGGTCAGCAATTCTTGTACTTTTAATTATGTGCATTTATTAGTTTGCTTTATACCTGCTTTTCATTTGAAAGCTTAAGGTGTACATGTAGCATTTTCCCCTCTTAATCCCCCCCCCACAACCTAGTGAAATTGGCTGAGAAATTGTGACTGTCCCAAACTCACCTAGTGTCTTCCCAAGTACCAGTCCAACACTGTCATCACTACATCTCACTGGCTGTCTTCTATGAAAGTGAGAAAAATGTCCAAGAACATTTTCTTAAACTACCACATTCCCCTTATTTGCTTTTTTTATAAAGTAAAAGTTCCGCAAATATTGCACACTTTTCTAACTATATTTACTTCAGTTTGATAAGTTTTTGTTTTCCTTTATGCCAGATGTTCCAAATATCAATCAAGGCATGGTATTTAGAGTAACCTGAATTTTGCAAGTGATTCCATTACTTTTTGTTACATTTGTTCCCCAAACCCCCAATTGTTTAAAAATGCAGATTTTGCATGTGAGTGCTCTGTAGACCTATGTAAAGTTAGTAGTTTGGCAGCTTTCTTCATTTCTAGCCAATACATTCCTGATGTACATTGTATCAATTATTTCAACTGAGGTGTTTACAAAAACCTCTTTATTATTAATTACACATTCAGAACCCAATGATATATATGCAGATTTAATTTTTTTGTCTCTAGATACAGAAATATTTTTAAATTGTACATCATCTTGGTGTATTTTACAAACAGCATGCTAAAAATACTAATATAATTAGTTTAAATACTCCTTCTCTTAGTGCAACTAAATCCCAATTTTCTTTGGTATCTTCTTTTCTCCTAAACCATTCTGTGACATCTACAAATTTAGCCCTTCCTAACTCTTCATCCCCAGCTCTTGATTATTTATGAACTGGCCTGATACAGATCTATGGGTATCACAGTGCTTTATTACCTTCTTTTTGGTTATATATATCTAGATGAACAGAAGCCTTCTTACAGAACAGGATAGCAGTAAGGAAAATTCTGCACATAAAAATATTTGACAGACCAAAGCCCTCTTTACAAATAACTTTGACTTCAAAGCTAGCACTGTAAAGGGACCTGGATCCTGACAGTCAGTTAAATCAAGTAGAGTAACCTGTATCAATCTGACTGGGGAGAGTTATGTCTCAAGTACGATATTATCTTTGGTAAATGACCACAGACATGTGGATTATATTCAAGCTGCTAAAATTCGACATCTTTCCAAAGGCAGGTTTGGAGTCAACTTTTAATACTGGGTTTGGCAAAAATGATGTTGGTAGTCTGGATCGAATAAGAAAATGTTAAATGTTAAATTTGAATGCTATTCTTATAGGAACTTCAGAATATAGGTTTTGTGATCCAGTAGTTTGTTTTTATAAACTTGGGCTCAGTCAGTATTGACTGAAGAGGGGTTTTTTGTGTTCTTATTATGATATGATAGTAAGGAATTTTAGGTAAAAATGTGGCCATTCCATTTTGTTCTTTAGGAAATACTTCAAACATATTGTAGGAGGATGAAACCGCTCTGGTCACCGAGATTACGATGGAAATACGCTGTGGTGGCCTATTATTCAGCTCCAAATTTGACTCTGGCAATTTGGCTCATGTTGAGAAAGTGGAACACCAGGAAGGTGATGGTGACAACAATTTGAATGGCAGTAGTAGCATCAATACTTCTTCTGCCTCAGTGGTGTTTGGCAACTCCCTCCCCACTGCAGACTATGAATTCAATGTGTGGACCAAGCCAGATTGTGGTGACACAGAATATGAGAATGGGAACAGGTAAAAACAACATCCATATTTCTATTATATCTGCTGATTGTAAGAATAGAGCTGTCAAGGAAGCCATTCCTAACCCTTTTTATCTCACAAGCTTTTTATCCTTTTCCATTTAGTAATAGCAGAGTTGAATCTATCATCTGAGATCATTACTGTAGAAGCCTATTCTAAACAGAGACCAGAACTTAATCACTTTTAATTTGATTTATATATTGATACATATATTTATGCCCAGAGACACATATATGTACACACACACATGCATGTATACATTACATATATATACCTACAGTATAACAAATCTTACTCCGAGGCATCACAATTTAAAATAGGCACAGGAAAATACCAGTGAAAAGGAAAATACAGGTCAATAGACAGGAAAAGTAAATGACTTTCAGTTGGATATAAGGTAGTTTATTTTTTTAACAGAAAATTGGAGGTCAACTGTGAAAAAATATGTAGCCCATGACAGTTCCCAATTCCAAGTGTACCTAGTCTTTCTGGGCAGAAATGCAGTTTCTGGGAACTGAAGTGTAAATGATGGGGGCTGTTATCTAACTCGTCTTGTGTCTTTCCCCTTCTTCCACAGATCCTGGTTTTACTTTAGTGTGAGGGGAGGAATGCCTGGCAAGTTGATCAAGATTCATATTGTGAATATGAACAAACAGACCAAACTTTATTCCCAGGGAATGACACCCTTAGTCAAGACAGTACCTGTCAAGCCCCGTTGGGAACGCATTCGTGAGCGACCTGCCTTTGAGGTATCTGCATAACATGGTACTCTGAGGAAAGATGTGCTGAGGTTGGGCTTAAATGTACTATTGTATCCTGATGGCCTCCAGAAACAACATATGACATGAACGTGACTTTTTTAAATGTGGGGGTGGATGGAAAACTGAATTTATTTGAGCCACAATCAACTTGGGGCTTCATAATAGAGGAATGGCAAAGACAGTATCTAATTATCAGAAAGGGGAGCCTGGAGGGTTGATTAAGAGGTCCTGATACTATCTGCTTTGTGTTTCTATTGGACTGTTTCTTCCATGTTTCAAAAAGTTGGAATGCATTAATTTGTTCTCCACTCTTCCATCTATCCCAGGATCCAATACCAGTTTGGTTTAATTCAGGCTGTTTGGTTGAGTCACAAATACGTGCTTATATGATTCTTCTTAGAAAATGCATGTGTGCTTACACTGCAGAATCCAATCTGGGTTGGTCACTGGGACCAGAGGTTTAGTTTTCTGAGCTTTTGGATTCATGCTGGAGCCCATTAATGAACTCTCTCCCCATAGCTTTGGGCTATTCTGTGCGTAGTATTTATGTGGTGCCTGGTTTTGTGTGGCCAGTAACAGCAGAGTTGAACCTATAATCTGAGATCATTACTTTAGAAGCCTATTCTGTTCATTACTTTAGAAGCCACACACAAGCAGGCATTACATAAATACTACGCATAAAATAGTCCAAAGCATATATTCTGTTGAGAGAGAAATTCCCTGAAGATGGGCTTCAGCATGATTCCAAAAGCTTGGAAGACTAAACCTCTGGTCCCGGTGACCGATTCAGACTGGATCCTGTAACATTATGCTGGGACATGTGTATTTGCCTTCATTCGTGTGCTTACACTGCCCAAAAGAATAAAGAACAGCCTATATATCATAGTTTTTCTAGATTGTTATTTTAACATCATGGTGCAAACAATATTTTAGGCTTATTTGTCTAAAATATCACAACAGGTGGGTTGTGTTGGGACAGTGAAGTTGATAAAGGCAGTGATATATCTGGCAGAGCTGGACATCTGTTCCAGATAATACTAAAAAA